TTTTTTTAATTCATTTTTTGCAGTGTAATTAAAAAACAATTAACAAATAATGCTTTTTGAAGCTTATGATGAAATTTCCGTTCTATAATATGTCCTGTTTCGTACATCAACAAACCTCGGCATCGATGAGAATTTGTCATATAAGCCTCTTAAACGGATAATTCTTCGGTAAGGATAGCAAGTTCAAGAATCAAATCCCTAAATTATTGATTAAGCCGGCATTTATAAGATTATTTATCTTTTTATTTTTGTTTGTAATAGTAGCTAATGACTGTTGAGTTTTCTCAAGTATGATTTGTGCAAAGTATACAGTGGTAAGGTAAACTCGGAAATGCGGAATAATTCGAGACACATCATGACTTTTTTTTTCAACAACCATTAGGACTACCATCACATATGTACTATGTCATATGTACTGTCTATGTACTTTTGAATAAATGCATGATAACATAAAAAAATATTTAAAAGATTTATTTATTATTAATCAGGTCACAATCAAATGCACATATATTAAGGAATGATAACGCTGTACGTAGTGCAGTCTGAACCATGCAAACAATGAAATTCCCGACAATGGAATAGTTTATTCTTAATTTTAATGGATCTTATAAACTAAAGAAAAATAATTATAAATATGCTAAAAATATCATCTTAATATATTTTTAACTTATGAACAAATGTGGATTTTATCCTGTATGAATTTGTTTGTGTTCACATTTAAAAACAGCTATTTATATCATTCGTTTCCTACGTAAATACAGTGTAAAATCATAAACGCTACCGTGACATTTTCATTTCCGGACTTACTATTTATAAAAAATGAATACTGTTCCAACGCATTAACCAACACGAATTTAACACTGGACAAAGATTTTTAGCCAACAATTTTATACACAAAATATAAAAGTGGTTAATACATGGGAAAATATTTAATTTAATCAAAGTTTACTGATTTTCTATGAAAAATAAACGGATTTCGCTGAGCAGCTGGTATTTGGCGTGGTTTTATGACGTCACTATTGCATATTACGTCATTTTTTTTCAAGTTGTCATTAGCTTTGATCTTATTGTAAACGAAACATAAAAGAGTTGTACAAAAAACCGTAGTTGAAAAATCGTAATATTTCTCGGCCGTATATAGCCAGTAACGTACCTTGTTCTTTGATACGTCTTAAAATTCATAGTTATGTTACAAATTACGCGCACTGAAATTATATTTAATTTAGGGGGTTTTATAGTACTTGTAACCTTAGGAGAGACTTGTGGATTTAATTGTTACATGTAGGACTTTTTTTTTTAAATTATTCTCTATTTTTACGCATTGTTTATACTTTGGTATAACTGTATGCTGTAATGAATTTTCTCTACGTGAAAATCGTTAAAAAATCTCATACAATTGCAATCTGAACTTTTTTCCCTATAGCTGGTTTTGATTTATAAGTCGTTCTTGATGAATAACAGTTCAAGTTTGCATTTCATACCACTGTGTTTTTATTTTTTTGACAAAATTAATGCTAATATAGGTGTTGCATGTGTACTGTATGTTTATAGACTTTCGAAAATGCATAATAATTTTGTCCCTTCTGGACCTGTTCATGAAGTAATTATATTTCCTTTTTTCACTAAATAAAAAAAATAATAAAATGAAATAAATAAATAAATAAAAAAACTTTTCTTTCAAAGCTGTGGAGTCAATTTTAATGGTTTTATCACTGAAATGTATCGTAGCTCTAAAATCCTTTTGAGAGAACAGCGAATCTCTGCATATTTATCTCTGCAGCCAGCCCTCTATGAAATCGTATGAAAATCTCATTTCGGGTTGCAAGAACCAGAAAATATGATAAAAAACGAATTCATATCTTTCTTAATGCGGAGATATTGAAGCATACACACATTCCTTGATGGTGTCTAATGTATGCCATACACTGTAGCTATAAAGAATGAAAACAACGTAGACCTCGAAAGGTAACAGTGTATTAGAGTTAATTTTCTTGCATTTAAAAAGAATTGAAATAACCCAGGTGTACACATATGCACAAAAATATAGGTCATCCTTTGTCAACTAACATTGGTTGTAAATATAGCTACTCATGTGCACGTGTGTATTGTAAATACCCAGATCATGTTATCGCGTAAGATGGTATTCCCGTTTTGCACACTTTTTATAATAAGGTATAGAACAGAAACAACTCAAGAAATAGTAAATCTTGGCATGAAATTGTACTTTTTCCTTGCAACTTATATGACAGCGCAGGGATATTAATTTCTCCAAAACACGATTTTTCTTATCAATATAGGTTTTCTTTGTCAAAGCAGGTATTGAAATCTGAAATTATTTTCTGCAAAAATTCGAAGTGGACTAGTATATTCATATTTCCAGAAAGTTATATTTTTAGTGAACATGTGCTTACTAATCATGAACCTTTTTTATTTTGTACTAAAGCCATGATTTATAAGTTATTAAAGAATATTATACTGCTTAATTAATCGTTAGAATATTAATATACAATAAGTATAAACAGATAATTTACAAAATCATTTAAAAAAAACAATCTAACGGGGAATTAACATTCGAATTCTTGTTATTGAATATGATCGCCTTCACCTGAAGTTATAGGACTAGAAAAACAAACATCTGTGACCAATTAGCGCATAAAGCAGATATGCAACATTTTCAAATACTTTTTTCTCTAAAACGTAATGTGTACAAAGAATGGGTGGACTTAACGCCCTATTTTGGATCTTTTTGCGACTACTCTACCAAGCTGTAAATGAAGTGAATCCAAAATATATTACAGGCAATAGAAAGAGTTACGTATACATGGTTATATTTGGTAGAACATTTGTACAAAAGCAATGCCCTGTTGCCATGAATCAAAATTGAAGCAACGATACATTAGTGTGGTCTTCCGGAATTTGGCATGTACCCGGAGTGATTTTTAGGTCACGTAATCAATATTAATAGGAGGCGGGGCTATCGATCGGCGTCATTGTTGAAATCTCTCTCTCTCTCCCTCTCTCTCTCTAGAAATTCGAATATGTGTATGGCATATTACAGCGATGTCAGTATGAAATTTAAAAAAGAAATGTGTGGACACGCAAAATTAAAACAACATTTAATTTGCTCAATTCTGAAAACGGCAACCAAACACGCTCAAAGACGTGATTTAGATCGAGGTCAGGTTGAAGAATACAATGTAACTGTTTTCACGAGTAAACTCGCAGATGGACATCACGTGATGAATTGTAATATTTAACAGGTCAATCGAAGTCAAATCAAGGTTAACTCAGTCATAACAATGGAAACGAGAAGTTTGTTTTGAACATGTTTTTTGTTAAATTAAGTGTGAGCGCACGTTTGTCGGCTCTTCTCCTTTTAATATGACATTATTTTGTTCAATATACAACTACAGTTTTCTTAAGAACAGCCGACAAACATGCGCTGACTATGTATTCAGACGATGAAAAACGCGTGACCCTGATTATCTATTGATATTCAAGAAATCTTCAGGCACCATGCCTTCGATATATATTTAGTTTTCCCGAAAAGAGCGTTTTAAATTCACATCTGTACCATGAATACACGGTTAAGATATCGGGGACTTATAAGATGGAAAGAAATAAACATTTTATGAAAATTTAATTTACGGCATTTTTTCTGGCCAGTTAAGTCCACCCATTCTTTTAATAAAGGCTGCATATCCCTCATAGTGTACAAACACAACATTCATGACATAGTATCAGTAATGATATATCGTTGCATTGAAAGACTCGACAACATATCAATAGTTGACTTCTGTCAATTATGAGGATATTTATCAATCATTACAGTGAATTAATAATAAATAAAGGATATTTGGTGTATTGTAGTTGGATATGAAATTTATTTCATGAGTGAGACAGGATTTTTCGACATTTTTGCGAGTGCGAAGTACGAGTAAAGATACAAAAAATACTGTCTCAAGAGTAAAATGAATTCCATATCCAACTACAAAATATTGAATTTTCTGTTTATTACATTTCTTTGATTTTCCCTTTACCTCTGTTATGTCATAGGCTGTGACATCATAGTTGAGTGGCTGAGACGTCATAGTCAATATTGTAAACATTATTTTGAGAAACTTTGATAGTTTTAGTCTGTTTTAAGATGGTTTATTTACTCCCGTTATCTTATATCAGGCCCGGGAGTGTCTTATAACACCATTCTTTGTAAAGAGAAGAAAAAAAGACAGTTTTACAGCACTTCTAATATTCCTTAACAATGTGTCAAATATCACGTCGGCATCCTTTCACACTGTGAAAGAATATCACTTTTATTCAATAAATAAATTACAGTATTTCACTGTTGGAAATGTAATAAATACACAGGCATGTTTGCCACATATGATCCACATAAGATTTTCATATGTGGATCATATGATTTGCTTCATATGAGAATCATAAAAAAGGGCATCATATGTGGATCATATGTAGCATTTCATATGATTTACATATGATTCACATATGTGAATCATATGAAAAGAACTTTATATGATTCACATATGAAAGTTTTGTGTGTGTGTAGTTGCTATTTCCATATGAGAATCATATGATAGGAAATTCATATGTAAATCATATGAGACATTTATGTGTCCCTAAATTATGTAATATGCACATGCTGTAAACCTGATATTTCTATTCATTCCACTATTACTTAATTTAAATAACCAATTCAAATTATATGTACAAAAAAATATAACACAATATTCTCTGAAATATTTAAATCTTCTCAATATAGAATTGCTTCAAAGATGAACAAAAATAAAAGATTTTACTGTGCATATTTACATAACCTTTTTATCAGTATAATAACAGATTCATTTTTGAAAAGTGAAATGTGTACCATAAAGAACACAAAGCAAGATCAGCACTTGACGATACATATATTTTGTTAAAATTCAATTCTATGTACATAATTGTATAAAAAAAAAATATATATACAAAATCTTCATTTAAAATATTTAAGACAAGTATTTTTCTATCCTCCTCTCCTCCTTTTCTTCCAGTTTTCCCCATTTATCCTGTCTGACATCCTGTTTGACCATATCCACAAAATTCTGGAACTCGGTCCAGAACGAGAAGCCGCTTGTTCCGCCTTTGCGGAACAATTTCGATGTTGAACAGAAAGATCTCTACAAAAATTGTTTTAAAAATGTATTAGTAATGTTTGACATATTGTGCATGCTTTTAAAATGAACCAAATGCTAAAATAAGATGATTTCCTTTTAGTGAAATGCATGCCATTTCCTGTTTCTTATTTTTTTTTTAATAATTAAAACTTCAGATTGTATATATTTTTTAATAATTAAAACTTCAGATTGTATAACAGGGTAGTCTCATTACATTTGAAATGAAAGTGTTAAGGATTTTTCTAAGTTGATCTACTTTAAATTTTAATGGTTTTAAAAGAGACAAAAATTTGATTTCCAGGCAAGATAACGAGAAATCTTTCACATAAACAGGGTTGTTCCTCATACACAGGGTTGTCCCTAAGAATTAAAATAGTAGGGGACATTTAAAAAGTAGAAGGGTATCTGGGATTCCTCCCTAAAAGGGGAAATGAGAGGGAATGCCAGAGTAACTGTGGATTACGTCATTATACGTTTGGAAATACCCCGGCCCCCAGGTCTTAGGCACAACCCTGCATACATATACCTTTATCAAATTTCTGAATCTACGAATTAAAGTCATGCAGATGAGATATATTAAACCAAATCTTTATCTTCAACATTTAAAGCAGCTTGAAAAATATCTCAATTAATGGGATTGAAAATGGTAAAACAAAGGTTTGAGTTATTTCATGAAATTAATTACCAGCATTAGGGTCAAATGCTCCCTTTCTATGTCAACAAGGGGAACAGCTGATGGCAAGAAACACTTCCACAGGTAGTTGTGGAGAGATCCTAAAGAAAGTCCCTCCACATCTACCTCCTTGTTGCCCATTAACTACAAAAAGAAAATTGATTTCAAGCATATGGATATATTACAAATAACATAAAAGTAGGAAATGTGTAAAGAAGCATTTGTTTAATCTTTTTTCCATTTCATATTTCAAGACAGGTAACTCATGATCCTCAGTTTCTTCATTATGAAAATGTGATATATATGTTAGAAGATTATGAAAAACACTAACAATTATAAAATGATATAAAAATGTGTTTTATATATGTCAGTGAAGAGCTCAGTATTATTATATTATGATTTAAGTTTTTTTTTTTTTTTTAGATGAATGCAATATGCAGCAGCCTTAAATGCAGATAGAATCTTTGATTATTCCTTGAATGTAGCAAATCTTTTATAATTTCTGAACACAAAAGGCCCAAGGGCTTAAACCGTCACCTGAGTATTCACAACACTGTAGAAAAGGATCCATAGAATTATAAAAAGATTGAAAATAAAATGATAAATGAAGCTATGTTGCCCAAAAGCAAGAGAAATAGGATGACAAGGGATCAACAAAATAATTAGTCTATTATGTACTCCGTAACAAACGTAATGTTATGAAACCTTTCCGTGCCTCCTAGATGACCAGGAGCAGAGAAGATTTCAAGAAGAAATTTCATAGATGCATTTTTTTATTATAGATTCAACAAATGTAATGAAACCTTTCCTTGCCTCCTAGATGACCAGGAGCAGAGAAGATTTCCAAAAGAAATATCATAGATGCATTTTCGCTATAGATTCAACAAATAATTGAAATATTGCATTAATTTTGATGGTTTTTGCCCCAATCCTCAGACCCAAAGGGGGCAGTGTTAATTTAACACAATTTTTGTTTCCCTTCTTACATGCCTAAATTGGTTAAAATCAGTTGAGCAGTTCCAAAGAAGAAGCTGATATTCATGTTTAAATGTTAAACAAACGACAGATAAAAACTCTAGCAATAGGTCACCTGAGTGACTCAGGTTGCCTATTAATACAATTATTCATAATTCAAACTATTAAAATGAATTACATATCTTTCATAATATTACAGATGAGTTGATCCAACTGTCTGAAAAAAATGATTCCCTTACACTAATAGGCTTGAAATAATTATATATCTTGTTCATGAAATACATCAAATTAAGACATTCCATTATACTACAGTTTTGTGGTAATCTTTGCTCTTATCTGGTTTCTGTAATAGGTGAATTTTGTCGAGCCAAAGCTCGACAAAACCCCTAAGACATTAGATCTATCAGACCAACCGGCTTTGTTAGCTAAATCCTTCAGCATTCCCTGAAAAAGGTTGTCTTAGAGTTAGAAAATTCAGATCACTTTTCGAAATTAAACAACATAGAAGGTTGTTAAAGCCCAAAGGCATAATAATTAAATATAGCATCATCGACCCTTGTAAAATTTGACAATGTGTGACCTCAAAAATTGAAAGAGGAAATATTGTCTTCTAATACCTTTCAAAATGTTTAGTCCCTTTCAGTGTATATTGATATAAATTGTGCTGAAGACTTTGTATATTGAAACACCAGATTAGTCTTGTTTTATTCCTTTATTTCATATAATGTGTACAATGATCGAGTTGGAAAATATTTTACTTTCAGTTTCCATCCAGATAGTTTTCCTATCTTTTTTCAGCAATGCTAAAATTTTGACAAAATTTTTCTAAATTCTATTATTCAAAGTGTCCGGTTGAAAAATTTTCAAGGACCAGTTTGAGCTCCGTATTTTTTTCCAGATGAAAAATATTCTAAGTTAAGAGCTCCAAATTTTTCCAGACCTATGAAAAATACACAAGTCCAACTATCCGTATTATTTCCATCTTTTTTCCAGATTATTTACAGATATTTTTGCATTTTCGTATTGTTTAATTTTCTCTGCATTTTTTTCCATATTTAAAATGAGGAAAAAATGTGGAATATAAATGCTGAAATCTGGAGATCTGAGTATTTTATACAGCTTAAAAAGGCATATTTTCCACCATGGAAATGAAAACAATATCAGAAATGTAGTATTATTCTTACTTTTATAATTAGCAAGATAAACACTTTTGCCACCTTTTTTTAAAAAAAGTATTTAACAATTGTCACTTTCATCTGAGGATTATATCAATTTAAACTAACAAATTAACCTGTATTTCTTGATCTTGGAAGTTGATCCATGGATATGTGCTAAATTTGGCCTTAAGGAAGTTTACATACTCCTTCTGTAAAAATGCAATCAATTGAATACATTAATCACAGTATTAATTAAGTAAAACATATAAATGAATGGCTTTAAAAATATATATATACCAAGGTCGGTGGCATGCAGTGAGGCTAGCATAAGGTCAGTTAAATTTTGTTCTTGCTTGGTGAATAAATGGATGTCCTACTGACATTAATAATTTTCAACATATGTTTTAAATAATTTAAATTAATTCTCCTTCTGTTTGGAAAATGGATCAAAACTGTTCATCATATAAATGTCTTTTATTACTAATAATATACCATATATTCCAAGGTGTTTACTCCATACCTCAATAGTTGACCCTTCTACGGACACTTTGCTCGGTGTTTCTTGGCTCTTAATCTTTTGGACGTCTCCTCTCAATTTGCTAATTTCATTTTTCAACTTTTTCTGTTCTTTTACTTGAAAGTAAATTATAAATATAAATATTCTCTATTTTATTTGACGAAGGTTTTGATTTTGATCAAAATGTGCATTGAATTCTATGTGAAACTTTTGTAAGCATCAATTATTTTATGATCATTTTCATAGATTTCTATTTCATTTAATAATAATTATTATTTATTTATTTTTTTAAAACAGAATCTATATATAAGAAAATCTTTCAAAAAATTGCAGAAAAATATTTTTTTTACCTTAGAACTAATGAAATGATTCATTGTAACAATAATTAAAAAAAAACAAGAATTAAAAATAAAATCTTACATATTTCTGACAACATTTCCATAATTTTGTCCTGTAGGCGGATCTCGACAGTGGTGGGTGCTGGTGGTGATTCAGGAACAGCTTGCACAGTTTGCTGAGAATCTGGTAGATTCGGGAGAGGTCCCACTTCAAGTGGCACTTGTGAACTTTCGAAGAGATCTTGCGAGTTCTTTTAATAAATACCACATGCACCGTAATGACCAAATTTTAATCAAAAGTTTACGAATTATTTATTTATGATTTCCTGTTCTGAGATCCTATCCTCATCTTTGTTTGGGTTATTGCCCTTACACATTAAGTAAACACGCATAGATACTAGTATTGCTCTAAAACTAAACATTTTATCCACAGACATTGGTCAATGTATTGAATGTAAATAAATATAGTGATACTTACTGCTAAGTAATCTTTCTCCATCCTTGTTTGTTTTGATCGTCTGCTGGAACGTGCTAAAATCTTCTTGGTTAACTCGGCGCTTCAAGCGATGTTTAGTAATGCAAAGTGAAAAGCGTATTCTGAATATCGATTTGACAGTTGGCGCGATGGCTTTTCGCTGCAACGTCTGCGATATAGGTTGCACAACAGTATTAAATTTGGCTATATATTCTTACCAAAAATGCGCAACTTTGAGTAGGTGGTATTAATTGAAAAGAAACTTTTGAGAAGTTTCCTTTTCAGATCTTGTTAAACAATTCTTTATAAAGATTTTAGTACTAAAAAATACATAGCCATCCAGCAAGGCACGCAAGTTTGTCTCGCTCGAAGTCGAGCAGGTGCTTGAAAATCAAGTCCAGGACCTAATCACTCCCCACTCAAATACAGTATATAGAAAATTCAGCACGCCTTAAATTTTAATGAATCTAGTCAATATAGGAAGTTTACATATTGTTTTTCATCTCATAAAAAAAATTCAGCTCCAGTCTCGTGTTAAAATGCCCGAATCGGAAGGGAAGATTCAGGAATTATTTTGCGTCAGCCATGATTTGACGTGAACCTCAAGTGAAATACTGTTATGACACACATTCGACAAAATAAATCATTGAAGTCGGCATAAACTTACAAAAAAACACCTACTAAATGACAGCTTCAGCAACCTGATGACCACATATTGTGTCGAGGAGGAAAATATCTACAGAACGGTAAATCTCAATTCGTTTCAGCCAGGTTCAGATGACATTGACAGTATAACAACGTTAGTCAACGATGACGATTCGGATGACGGAGAGGCTGAACCCGTCTCCGAGTCAGAGGATTATGATCTATTGGTAGCGTACTTTGAAATTCTATGTTATCATTACTTAGAATTTGATTAATTTAGAAAAAAAGTTGGGTGTTTACATTCGGCCTAGTAGATAGGAAAATATTGACACAGTCTCTTCTTTTTTTTTTCAGAATGAAGGCTTCAGCAGCGACTCTGATGGCCACACGTACAATGACCAAACAAATGACACCAAGTGGTTTCCATTTCCAGACAAGCTGAGTCTTCTTTTATATGGGTTGCTTCATAGTACAACACATCATATCGTAAGTAAAATGTGTAAATATTGAACTTTAATTTAAAAAGAAAAACAAAACAAATATAAAACAAAAATAAAACAATACAAAACAATTTTTTCATAGGTGCAAGTATGTCGTAACATGTAGGGCCTATATTATGAATCAATAAAATCATGTTTATTATAAAAACATGATTTAGAAAACATAGAAAACACACACAAAGAACTTTGGTTAAAAATGTATTTACAAAATCCCTACTAGAGTGGGTGAAAATGCCCTGTGAAAATGGCTATCAAATGCGCTATGGCTCTTTACATAAAGATAGAATTGTAATTTTTTTCTAAATAACAAATGACAACAAAAATTTCCCTAAACATGAATTTTGAAAATGCAGTATTTTTTGTGTGTATGTGGAAGGTCTGAATTAATTAAATATTTGTTTTAGTAATGTGATTTGATACATGAACAAATCAGTATTTTCTTGTATTGATACTGAAAATTGCATCAGTGACATTCCCTAACTCTGACTTATTTCTTTATAAGTAACTATATATGTACTGGTGTAACCATAATATCTGAAAATGTCATTCCTGTCAACTCCATTTTATTTCCTTCTAAAGAGTTTGGAAGTGGCAAATTATGTATGGTTCCTTTTGAAGGAAATTGGTGTGCCTAACGTACCACCTTTAGATTTCATTAGAAACTTGAAATTTGGGGATTTAGATGTGAGCAGCTTGATAGCTAAGGTAAGATAAATTATTCATTTGGCTTGTATTTAAGAGTGCGTAACTTAAAGGTGCTTGGATACAGATTTGAGGTTAATATTTTCTCAATTTTTCGGTATAATATCATGAATTATAAATATGTTTTTATAGCATTTCACATGGAAAGAAAATAAAAAACTTATTTTATCTGGAAATTATTGAAACTACAAATTTCGGGACGCGTTTGATTGACATAGCTACGCAAGTTATACTGTACGTATAACCTCAGGGTTGGGACAGTTTATGCTTTATAAACCACAATTATCATCGATTATAATGTTAATGTTTTATTTGCATTGCCAAACACTTGTATTCAGATTTATTGTAATATCAGGGAGAAGATGACAGTGGTTTACCCTTTTACATTTTGAAGCCAACTGAAATTGCCAAACTGCAATTGAGCAATCCTTCTATATCAAAGAATATTGCCAAGTATATATGAACATGGGTATATTGTTTATAAAGATAATGAAATATAAATAAATGAAAGTGAGGTCTATTACTACCTTATCCCACACTTCTCTAGAGGATGTTTTAAATCTATACCAGTAGTAAATAATTGGACTAAGTTATCTCGAACACCAGCTGATATCTTGAATGCCAGAGATATCTCAGAAATTTAATTTTGGTCCAGTCAGTTCGAAATAATGACGTTTGACTATATTTTATCGAAAATCAACCCTAAATTATTCTAATTATTAATAAGGTATCCACGGAAAACTGGTCTCATACATGAACAAAGGGACGGCAGCCGCCTCCATGAAATTGTATCCCCTTGGGCGTCATTTGGCGAAACTCATTTCCATGTGGGTAATGTGGTGGAATCAGCAGCTGACCAATTGATTGGAATCATAAAAGCATTTTATGAGAATGAGGAGGTACATTGTTACAGTTTGTTCCTTTTTTTTTAAATTAAGCAATCACTTAGTATATTGTAAATGTACATTTTATGAAATGAGAGGTACTATCTACAAGAGGTTAAACTTTGCAGAACTTCATGAGCCAACTCAAAATTGCAAAAATTGGATTCACAAAATATTCAAATTCGACTAAAGCCATGCAATCTCCAGTAAAAATAGTTAAAGGCTAGCTGAATTCAGACTGAAAATATTCTAACACAGTACAAAATATTCTTGAAATTAAATTTTGCACTGCTGAAATAACCCATTAAACAGCATGTGTTTTATTATTTTACATATTTTTACTCTTATAGGGAGATTTTATTCTGGCTTATTTGGAAATATTGAAACTGGAAAGGAATGAAGACAATCAAAGGTAATTTAAAAGACTCTGTCAGATCCCATAATCAGAGATTCCGGAGCATATAAGTTTTGTTTTGTATTTTCATCTGCTTGTTTGTTTATCTGTTTGTCCATGTTGTTATTATACTCGGGTGACCATTAAGGTCCTTGGGCCTCTGTTTAATGGTAGAATCCTTATCAAACCATAATATATTCATTATATGCGAAACCAGAGTTCCAATTTAGGTGAGACCAAAGTACTGATCATTGCCTGAGAAACTGACATAATATTTAGATGATTATCAAGGCAAATGGTCATTTTGATTAAAATAAATGCAAGCTTAATGCATAAGTATAATCTTCTTATTACCCTGCCTGTTCATTTAATCTTAGTACATAACCACTTAACCATAACTATAATTTTTTGTTGATTTTCTCTAAACAGCTGCTTGGTGAAGACAAAAAAATACAGTACCATTCCATTATCCAGCTTGTCTGCATACTCAGTAGATCACTTTAAAATTATGGAAATAGCAACATCAGGGCAACTTGTGGAAATATCAGATGAGGTATACTGTATTCAGAAGGAATTTGATCTGATAGATTAGGTTTTTTGTAAGACACTTTACTAAAATGTAGATCAGATTCCATTTACATTTATGAAGATAATTTTTAGACAATTTTAAGGTCCATTTCTGATTTTTAATGAGACAAATTTTTAAAAATTATTTTTATGTCCCCTTAAAGATTTCGGAGACTTATAGTTTTTGCCTTGTCCGTCAGTCTATCTCTCTGTTTGTTGTAAAAACTTTAACCTTGCCCATAACTTTTGATTGGTTGGAGCTTTGGCTTTCATATTTTAGATGTATATTCCTTGTGAGAAGACCTTACTTTGGGTATTAACAGATTTGACCTCTTGTCCTTGAGGTTTGACCCTTTTTTTGCAAAGTTTTACTAAATTTTAACATTGGCAATAACTTTTGAATGATTGATATTAGGGCTTTCAAACTTCACAAGTGTATTCGTGAAAAGACTTTTCCCTGGGTACAAATAGTTTTGCCATTTTGATCTTAACCTTTCGTTTGACCCACTTTTAAAAAAACTGTAACCTTGGCCATAACTTATGAATGGTTAGTGCTAGGGCTTTCATATTGCACAGATTATGATATTTCTTGAGACAAGACCTTTCTTTGGGTACCAACATTTTTTATCTCTTGACCTTGGAATTTGACTCGCATTTGAGAAACTTTAACCTTCACCATGAGTTGCCATGCGGGTGGATCAGTGTTTCACAAACATGTCTTGTTTTATTGTGTTTTACATACAGTATGTAAAGAAAAAGAATATGTTTAATGAAATCAGCTAAACTATCATAATACACATATAGTTTTTATTTTAGGAGAGGTCTAAGGTCCTTTACATGAATTTGTATGAGAATCAACCAATTCCAAAACTGTCAATTCTTGTGAATTTGTTCATTGATGATGCATCTACAAATATCAGTAGGAGATGGCTACCAA